CCTGTTTCAGTGTTCACTCTGTAATGTGCTTTGTGTAGTATAACAGGAGAGACTATGTGATGGCAGGGTTTACTGTTTTCAGGAGGATTCTTGCTAAGACTTGAGAGATGGTGAAGCTGCCATTGTTTTGTTTAATTGTATTCGAAACAGCGATCAGTGCTGATTCGAGGCACTTGCGTCTATGGAAGTTAGTTTCTTTGATCACTAATTGGGCGTCCCTGAATTTCATGAGATGATTGGTAGAATTTCGGTGTTGTACACAGGCGTTCAAGTTATCGTTCCTACGTGCGTAAATGTGTTCATTGAGGCGGGTGTCGAGGTTTCTTGCTGTTTCACCCACGTAAATCTTGTCACAGCCTCCACAGGGTATAGTGTAAACTCCTGCGTTGGCTGGTTCGTGGTGCTTTGATTTTGTCCTGGTTAGATCCTTTATTGAAGTGCTAGAAGTGATGGCAACTCTGGTGTTGGCTTGTGAAAGTACTCTAGGAACGTTCAGTGCAACCTGGCTGTTGGGAAGAATTATAACTTTGTTGGGAGTGGTGTTGGTGCGTGGAGAATTAATGATCTGAAGAGCTCTTTTCTTGCAGTCTTTGATGAAAAAGGGAGGAAAATGTAACTCAGTGAATGTTTGGTGAATGTATGAACATTCCTCGTCAAGAAACTCAGGACTACAAATTCGGTATGCTCTTCGGAAAAACCCGATGATGATGCCTCTTTTGGTCTTGGTATCTTGACTGGAATAGAAGTGTGTGAGATCGTTTTTATTGGTAGGTTTCTGATAAACTTGAAATCTTAGGTTGTTGTCTACTTTGTGAATGAGGACGTCGAGGAAAGGCAGCTTGTCATTGGACTCTTCTTCTAGTGTAAACTGGATCGCCGGTTCAACTGCGTTGAGCCTTGCCTGAAGATTCCCTACGTCAAAACGTTTGGGAGTTATTACGAGGACGTCGTCCACGTAACGTAACCAAGTGACGCTTGAAGGGATGATGTTGGCGAAGTGTTTGGACTCTAGGTGTTCCATGTATAAGTTGGTTAGGACGGCACTGATGGGGGACCCCATTCCCATGCCGTAGGTTTGTTTGTAGAGCTTGTTATTAAAAGAAAAACAGTTGAAATTAACAGAGTTCAATCAAGTCAACAAAATCTCCAGGAGGTAGAGGAAGATTAAGGTCCTGATTGACTTTACTTTAGCAAGAATCCTCCTGAAAACAGTAAACCCTGCCATCACATAGTCTCTCCTGTTATACTACACAAAGCACATTACAGAGTGAACACTGAAACAGGCTGCCTCTATCCAGTCTATATTTATCCAACCTAATTTTATCTTACCCAAGTAATAGCTTTCATATCCTTTTACTCATGTACGAATTAATTGCTCTACCATATTGTATTACTACTACCACTACAACTTTTGTCACTACTACTACTACTACTACTACTACCACTAGTATTGCACCTCACTCTGAGCCTATATATACCCTCTGTGTCCTTGTATTGTTTGTAATGGCTTGATAAAGCTCCTGGAGAGCGAAACATTGCCACAATAAAATGTCACATTAGTTGCACTTGTGTCCTTTTACTTTAAATATTGTCGGTAATTCTACCAACTTTATTACAACAACAGCCTTGTAAAGTAAAAGGATACAAGGGCAACTAATGTGACATTTTATTGTGGCAACGTTTCATTCTCCAGGAGCTTTGTCAAGCCATTACAAACAGTACATGGACACAGAGGGTATATATAGGCTCAGAGTGAGGTGTAGTAGTAGTAGTAGTAGTAGTATAGTAGTATTTTTATATTTTTTTTTTTATTATCACACTGGCCGATTCCCACCAAGGCAGGGTGGCCCGAAAAAGAAAAACTTTCACCATCATTCACTCCATCACTGTCTTGCCAGAAGGGTGCTTTACACTACAGTTTAGTATAGTAGTAGTAGTAGTATAGTAGTAGTAGTAGTGTAGTAGTAATAGTGTAGTAGTAGTAGTAGTGTGGTAGTAGTAGTAGTGTAGTAGTAGTAGTAGTGTAGTAGTAGTAGTAGTGTAGTAGTAGTAGTAGTAGTAGTATAGTAGTAGTGTAGTAGTAGTAGTATAGTAGTAGTAGTAGTAGTAGTGTAGTAGTAGTAGTATAGTAGTAGTAGTGTAGTAGTAGTAGTAAATAATAATAATAATAACACAACAATATGTTAGAACAGTTAACTTGCACATGAGTTAAAGGATATAAAAGCTATTACTTGGGAAACATAAAAATTGGTTAGACAAATATTTCCATTAGAGGTTGGATTAGAGAATACCTGTTTCAATGTTCATTCTCTGTAATGTGCTTGTGTAATATTAACAGGAGAGACTATGTGATGACAAGGTTTACTGTTTTCAGGAGGATTCCTGCTAAGACTTTAGAGATGTTGAAGCTGCCTTTGTTTTGTTTAATTGTATTAGAAACTTCACTAATAGCTGTTTCTAATACAATTAAACAAAACAAAGGCAGCTTCACCATCTCTGAAGTCTTAGCAAGAATCCTGAAAACAGTTAATCCTGCCATCACAAAGTCTCTCCTGTTATACTACACAAGCACATTACAGAGAATGCACATTGAAACAGACCTCTATCCAGCCTCCAATAGAAATATTTGTCTAACCAATTTTTGTTTCCAAGTAATAGCTTTATCTACTATCATATTTACTACTACTACTACTACTATACTATACTACTATACTACTACTATACTACTACTACTACTACTACTACTACTACTACTACTATACTACTATACTACTACTACTACTACTACTACTACTACTACTACTACTACTACTACTACTACTACTACTACTACTACTACTACTACTACTACTACTACTTACTACTACTACTACTAATACTAATACTACTAATACTACTACTACTACTACTACTACTACTACTACTACTAATACTACTACTACTAATACTACTACTACTAATAATACTACTACTAATAATAATACTACTAATAATAATACTACTACTACTAATAATACTACTACTACTAATAATACTACTACTAATACTAATACTACTACTACTAATACTACTACTCCTCCTCCTCCTCCTCCTCCTCCTCCTCCTCACTCTGAGCCTATATATACCCTCTGTGTCCATGTACTGTTTGTAATGACTTGACAAAGCTCCTGGAGAGCGAAACATTGCCACAATAAAATGTCACATTAGTTGCACTTGTGTCCTTTTACTTTAAATATTGTCGGTAATTCCACCAACTTTATTACAACAACAGCCTTCAATAAAGGTAACTGTCATGTTGAATGTTCATTCTTTTGTGCATGTAAATCTATCTTTAAGGTAAAAAAAAAAAATTGTCGTTGATACTTCTGGGTGTCTGGAACGAATTAATAGGATTTACATTATTTCTTATGGGGAAAATGGATTCAAAAATTGTCAATTTTGATAATAGTCACACTTCCAGGAACGGATTAATTATGAAAAGCGAGGGACCACTGTATTATTAGTATGTATTATGTATTATTATTATTATTAATTTAGAGAACTGAAGCTCTATCATTATTATTATAATAATTATTATTATTAATTTACGGAACTGAAGCCCTATTATTATTATATTATTATTATTATTATTAATAATTTAGGGAACTGAAGCACAGATCCAATTCCCTACATCAAGAGCCCCTCACCAGCATCAAGGAACCTTGACATTGGGAATTGGATTTGTGCTTTAGTTATCTAAATTAATAATAATAATATTATTATTATTATTATAATTATTATTATTATAATTATTATAATTATTATTATTATAATTATTATAATTATTATTATTATTATTATTATTATTATTATTATTATTATTATTATTATTATTATAATAATAAATGCCACCAACTCGGTCCACTGTTTGCCTCACAGTGGGAGTGGTTCTCTCATGCTTTGCTCACATTTTTGACAGTCATTTGGCCAAATTTTGTTTTTCTAAGCATGGGTCCTAAGAAAGTTAGTGTAAAGGACAGTGCTGAAAAGAAAAAGAGGATGATTTACATGGAATTAAACCATGAGATCATAGATAAACAAGTGAGGTGTCCAGGTTTCAGCTTGAGGGGGAAGCAGGGGGGAGCTGGCTCGTAACTCAAATGTTGACTTGTAACTTAGAGCAAAAAATTGACCCAGTGACAGCTCGTATTACAAAAAACTCGTATGTTGGGACACTCGTAAGTCAAGGTTCCACTGTATCTATTTTCTTTGTTAATTCTAAGACTTAAATGCTTATACCTTTTCTTGCCACTTTCAGCAACACTTGTATGCCTACTGGGTGCCATGATTGCTTATCAGATTTAAAGATATGGCAATTAAAATATGTATCTAAACAAACTTAGTGTGCTCCCAGAGGATCATCCTACACATGTATGAACCAAACTGAAGGCTGGGAGAGTGGTGGGGGTTGCAGAGGATGGCATGGGATGGCAGTAGGTCTCCTCCGTTGACTCAGTGGTGTAACCCACAGCCAATCCCGTGGGCGACCACGTACTCGTAATTTTTTCCCCTCCCGCAAGCTGAACCGTGTTAAATTAATTTTACAAAGTGTTGTATAAAATTGTGCTGCAGTTCTTCAGTTGTGCTATAACCGAATTGTGCCAAGTAAACTCGTGTTAAATGATGGTCTACTGTATACCCATTCTTCATTTATACAGACTTCCTGTGATAAATATATTAACCACTCGCTGAAAGCTAAGGATGAAAATATTTTAATGTGTGTACTGTATATGTATTTTTTAGGCCTAGCTTTGTTGGTTACTTAATATATGATAGTGTAAACATGTTATCAGGCTTTTATATGCAGTTGAAAGTGAAACAAGGCTATGTTTCACCTTACAATGGTAGCCTGGAACCTAACCTGCTGTAAAAGTGGGGCCCTCCTGTATATTAACTGATCATTATAGATAGTTTATACATAAATGAAAGTTACATTCTGTTATATTGACTTTTCTCTACAGTTGACATCATCGGCCAGGATGCCCCAGAATATGCTGACTCTGACATGTCTGCGTATGGAGGGGTACAGATGGGTGGTGGTGCTGGAGCGCAGAGTGAAGCTAATTTTTCTACGCTAACAGCTGTTTCCAGAGCTGATCCCGACCTGGAAAGCAAGCGCAAAGCCTATGTGAGTAACACACTTACTCCAACAGCATGTCAAATCTTCAAAACCACTTATCTCCCCTCACTCTAATCAAACATGCTCACACATGCTTGCTAGATGCTCAAGGCCTTGCCTCTAAACCCTCACACACCTCCAAAAAAAAAAAAAGCTGTTTTTAAGTTCATTAATTAGGTTGTTCACGGGACTGGGATCAGGGTTTGAGAACGTGAAAATAATGTCTTTAGAAAAAAGTTATCTGTATTACATTAGGAAAATCATAAATTTGTAAGAAGTAGGTCATTTATTCTTCCCTGGGATTATCAGTGGTTATTTGAAGTGTAAGCAAGGTAGTAATACAGTATTAAGATTGTATATTGGTGTCTTGTTAAGGTTAACTCTATGGAGTCATAATTCAATGAAAAGGTAGACAGCAGTCATCTAGGGAGATAACATATCCAGGGAGGTAATACCGTCCTGTCATACGGATGGGAAACGGAAATCTATTAACGCTTTTCATTAGCAGCATTGCTGGACATTTCTTTTTTTGTCATGAACATTTATGACATAAATCTTAGAAACTTTTACTTACATTCACTTTACAATTATCTTTATTTTTGTGACTGTTACTTAAGAGTTCTTATTTCTGTAATATTTCTTTTTCAATTCAGTAGATGTGGCCTGTGACTAGGCTGGGCTGGGGGTCAGTGATCATCAGTATCATCAACACATATAACAGATATAAAGTTTTTGTTGTTGACAATACCAAAATAAATATGTATATACAGATTTTATGTATTTTGGGTTAGCCAACAGATTAGTACACATAAAGGATTTTTTTTTTACACAGGGTTTGACAAGGTTTGGTTAAGGATCCCTAGATTTATTGACAAGCTATTTACAAGTTAAGGATTCCTAACTTTATTGACAAGCTAAGAGCTGTTACCTACATCAGCTCATTTGAAAGCATTTTTATTGTTATGAATCATACAAGTAGGGAACAGGATAAAGTTGGAGCCATCTGTGGGCCAGTATTTTCATTTGATCAGCTGACTGCATCTTGTTGACATCATTATGCTGTACGAATGTGTTCCAGACTCGCGTCATCCTGGGGATAAATGATCTCAGATGAAGTGATGTTCTGGAGAAGGGTACAGCCAGAGTGAAGTTGCTGCTTTCTGCCCATCTTCTGGTATAGAAGCTTGCTTCTCACTGTCCTCGAAGTGGAGCCAGGTGTGGTACTTTGACAATGTTGGCCTTTAACATAACAGTAAGGCCACTCACGTCCCTCTGTGTGAAGGTTCTGCTGAAATGACAGATCTATCCAGGATGGGTCCAGGTGAGAGATGAGACATCTTGCTTTGTTCTCTACTCTGTCAAGCAGCCGTAGATGAGAGGGGAGGCAGGCAAATCAAGAAAGTGGAGCTTACTCAAGGTGTGAGCGTAATTGTGCCTCATACAGAATCTTGCAACCCTTACTGTGAAGCAGATGCAAGATACATCAAAGTGCTGTAAGCTTCCTGGCTGCCTTGTTTGCAAGATTTACAAAATGGTTCTTCATGGCCAGTTTGGAGTCAAATTTCACCTCAAGGATATCAACTTCTTCCTCAGGTACCAACACTCACCAATTCATATTGCTGCTCCGGCATTGCCATCACGATACCTAGAGACCATCATCATGTGTGTTTTCTCAGGTGTAAATGTTACTTGCCATTTATTTCCCCAAGCTGATATAGCTCTTAGCTGGTGACTGATGTAGCTTAGAGCAGTTGGCATTTCTTCTCTTGGATAAGTGAATGTCAGTGTACAGTCATCTGCATATGCATGGGATTCTGGGATGAGATGAAGAAGGTCATTGAAGTAGATGTTCCATAACAATGGTCCCAACACATGTCCTTGTGGAACACTTGCCCCAATAGGATGTCTTGCTGATTCTGTTCCATTGAGAACTACCCTTAGAGATCTATCATGATTGTAATCACTGAGGAGACGTAGCGTAGAGTAGTCCGCTATAGTAGCCTTATCTTATATTTTACCATTTTGTCACCCTTTTAATGAAACTCTTTTTCAGAGACAATAAATATACATGTATATGTAATTATAGTACTATCTAATGGGAAAAGGATTCTTTTCCATTCTCTGTAAGCCATGTGTGTCATAATAGGCAACTAAAATGCCAGGAGCAAGGGGTTCTTATCCTGTATATATTACTAAGGGCAAAAAGAAGTGTTTTTTCTTTTTCTGGTCACCCTGCCTTAGTGGGAGACGTTCAATATGTTAGCAAAAAAAAATATAGTACAGTGGACCCCTGCGTAACGATCACCTCCGAATGCGACCAATTATGTAAGTGTATTTATGTAAGTGCGTTTGTACGTGTATGTTTGGGGGTCTGAAATGGACTAATCTACTTCACAATATTCCTTATGGGAACAAATTCGGTCAGTACTGGCACCTGAACATACTTCTGGAGTGAAAAAATATCGTTAACCGGGGGTCCACTGTACTATACAGTAGGGCCCCGCTTTACGGCATTCCACTAATATAGCAATTTCAGATTATGACCAAAACTCGCTCTACAGCTCCCTGTCTTTCTAATACGGAGTGCCCCACCCAGTTTGTTTATATTCTCTGTGAGCTCATCTCTCTGTTATGTCTGGAAACTTTCCAAAATTTCAAGCGTTTTAAAGTTATTGCATATTTTTTATATATATTATTTTTTAACACATCGGTCATCTCCCACCAAGGCAGGGTGACCCAAAAAGAAAGAAAATCCCAAAAAAGAAAATATTTTCATCATTATTCAACACTTTCACCTCACTCATACATAATTACTGTCTTTGCAGAGGCACTCAAATATGAGTTTAAAAGTCAACCTCCAAACTGCCAGTATCCAAACCCCTCCTTTGAAGTGCAGGCATTGTACTCCCCATTTCCAGGACTCAAGTCCGGCTAACCGCTTTGTCTGAATCCCTTCACAAAGTATTACCCTGCTCACACTCCAACATCTCGTCAGGTCCCAAAAACCATTTGTCTCCCTTCACTCCTATCTAACACGCTCACACGTGCGGACGACCCTTACCCCACCTTCCTTCCCCTGTAGATTTATATGCTCTCCAAGTCATTCTATGTTGAACCAACCCGTCACCAACCCCTCTTCAGCCCTCTGACTAATACGTTTACTAACTCCGTACCTCCTCCTAATTTCGACACTCCGAATTTTCTGCATAATATTTACATCACACATTGCCCTTAGACAGGACATCTCCACTTCCTTCAGCCACCTCCTTGCTGCAGCATTTGCAACCCAAGCTTCACACCCACATAAGAGTGTTGGTACGACTATCCTTTCATACATTCCCTTCTTTGCCTCCATGGATAACGTATTTTTTTTAACTCCACCACTCACCGTTTTTCCTTCATCAATTCTGTGGTTAATCTCATCCTTCATAAACCCTCAAATATCTGAAAACATTCACTTTTTCCATACACCCTCTTTCTAATGTGATATCCAATTTTTCTTTATCTAAATTGTTTGATACCCTCATCACCTTACTCTTACCTATGTTCACTTTCAACTTTCTACCTTTACACACCCTCCCAAACTCATCCACTAACCTTTGCAACTTTTCTTTAGAATCTCCCAAAAGCACAGTATTATCAGCAAAAAGTAACTGTGTCAGCTCCCATTTTGTATTTGATTCCCCATAATTTAATCCTACCCCTCTCCCCAAACACCCTAGCATTTACATGTACTTCTTTTACAACCCCATATATAAATATATTAAACAACCATGGTGACATTACACATTCCTGTCTAAGACCTACTTTTACTGGGAAGTAATCTCCCTCTCTCCTACATACCCTAACCTGAGCCTCACTATCCTCATAAAAACTCCTTACAGCATTTAGTGACTTATATGTACATTGATAATTGTACTTATGTGTACCTACCTAAATATACTTACACACTGTGCTTGTGTGCAAGTACACATTAAAATCACTAAGAGTGTCCCTCTAGTTTTAATGCCATAGTATTAATACTTAATACATAATAATGATCACTCTTGGGCACATTAAATGTCTTATTTTACATTAATATAGAAATTTTCATTAATCCTTCTATGATATTTTCTTCAAAATTATGTAAGAAATACATTACATAGCATATAAACATGCTATGTTTATATGCTATGGAGGTGTGGTAGCCTGGCAGAGGGAAAACATTACGTTTTCTCTAATCCAACACCAGAGAAAACGTGTATGAATCTGCTTTTTTTTTTTTTTTTTTTTACAATTCTCCGCATGAATTATTGCTTCTCCTTTCGATTATGATGGCATCTAAAGGTAGTTGTTAGAAACGATTAAACTCAGTGATCAGGATATGTAGATGGTAATCATATGGCTCGGGGCTGCATTAAATAGGTGTAGCTATGTAGGTAGGTGCAGCTGTGTAGCCAGGCAGACTACATAGCTACATCTACTGGCTACCTACACCTGACTTCTTACAAATAAATACTACTCATCTCTCATCCTACATTAAGATTACACATATTTTAAGGTAAATAATGAGTGTACTGTATGTATATTTTATATATCTGGGCTGCTTTAAATGCCATATACATTAAGTTTAGGATGGGGAGCCGGGGCTACCTACACCTGACTTCCTACAAATAAGTACTACTCTTCTCTCGTCCTACATTAAGGCTACAAATATTTCAACTTTTAAACTGTCCAAATGTAGATCTACGTTTACGCGCATAGCGCTCCGGCCTTGGTTTTCTCCATTTGAAAGCATGTAAAAAAAACGTAGATCTACGTTTGGAGCGCTATGTGAGTGAACATAGATCTACGTTTGAACAGTTTAAGGGTTAAGGTAAGTAATGAATGTGCTGTCTGTGTATTTTACTTTTTATTTTGTTTTTTGATGCCAAGTTCTATTACTAACTTAATACGTATAAGTTAGTGTAAACTTGTTGTTTGGCATTTATATGCATTTATAAGTGCAAAAAAATGGCGTTCTGCTTTCCGGCGATGTTTGCTTTCCAATAGTAGCCTGGAACCTAACTTGCTGTATAAGTGGGGCCCTACTGTACTACAGTGGAACCCCGAGTTTCGGCTTTAATCCGTTTCAGGAGCTAGGCCTAAACTCGAAATAGCCGAAAGTCGAAGCAATATTTCCCATAAGAAATAATGTAAATACAATTAATCTGTTCCAGACCCACAAAAATATTCACAAAAAAATAAATTTTTTAACCCCTTGGCTGTCACAACCCCAAATCCTGAGGTGTCTCCTGGTGTTGAAAAATTAAAAAAAAAAAAAACTTATGAAATGATAAAGAATATTTTCCCGATGGTAACGACACCAAAAGAACGAAATTTGATGGAAAACTGACGGAATTATGCTCTCACGAAGTTAGCAACCTCGATATTTACGAATTGGCGATTTCACCCACTTTGAGCCCTATTTTCGGCTAATTCCATTGTTCCAGTTAACCAAACTCATAGCTATTTCTTTAGAACATTTTTTCTATCAATTGCGTACATGAAACTGCCCATTTACTGATTTCAACTACCCAATAACATGGTCAGAAATTTGCAATTTGGCAAATTTCACGAAAATTAAAAAATATGACAATTTCAAAATAGGGTCCAAAATGAACAATGCAGGCATTCCTGGCTCTAAAATAACATTTTCTTTGTTCATCAGCCATGTCTCCAGGCCCCTCTGATATTACTCTTGCTTTCTATTTTGAATTTTTATTCAAACAAAAAATAGAAGATTTACTGTTATGCAGACTACTGCAATATTGTAATAATTGTATAAATAATGTCAACCCATTCATGACTGCATATTAGAATGGCTAGTTGGACATTTATTGGACAATGTCGTCATTTGTTTACTCTTAAACATCTGCAAAAACCAAACATTTCCCCTAATTTGAGCTCCAATTCAAGGTCCTTTTCATAGTAAAACCAATCAAAATCATCTCTGTTTCTGTAATACGTTTTCCATTCTGTCAAATGAGAACAAGAAAATGAGAATACAGTGGACCCCCGAGTTTCGTGATTAACCCGTAAACGGTCCAAACGTATATATACGTTTTAACCGCTAGTGCCCCAAACGTATATAGTATATGTTTTATGCGTCCTACATTTAACCCTTAAACGGTCCAAACAGATCGACGTTCAAATTCGTAGTGCTACAAAAGTAGATCTACTTTTTTTTTACACATTTTCAAATGTAAAACAAAAAAGAAGATCTACATTTTTTTACATACTTTCAGATGTTGAAAAAACGTATATATACGTTCGGACCGTTTAAGGGTTAACATTGCCACAATAAGCCTGAGTCGCCCAGACATGTGAGAATGGGTGTGAGCACTCACTGTGCACCATATTAAAATAAGTGGGGATGCCTGGGTACCATATGCTCTTTTTTCCTATTAAAAAACAAAAATGTTTTTTTTCTCAAAAAAGTTGGGGCAGTACGGTAGTAAACGTATATATACGTTTGGACCGTTTACGGGTTAATCCGTTTCAGAGAGCCCGCCGAAGGTCGAAATTCATGAAACTTGAAACCATTTTCCCCATAAGAAATAATGGAAATAAAATAAAGATTTACATAATGAAAACAATCGGAAATCAAGTACATGCATTTAAAAAAATAATAATAACATTACACTTGCCTTTACTTAAGACTTCTGCGTGGATGGAAGACGGGAGGAGGGGATAGGAGGAAGGTGTACACTATTGTTTGGAAGGAGAATCTCCTTCCATTAGGACTTTAGGTAGCAAGCCCTTATCTGGGGTTACTTCCCTTCTTCTTTTAATGCCACTGGGAACAACTTGAGAGTCACTGGACTCCTGTCGCACAAAAATCTGTCCAAAGAGGTCTTTTTCTGGCGTTTCTTTAAGATTTTCCTGAAGTGGGACACAACACTGTCGTTGTACATGTTGCAGATATGGCTTGTTTCAGCTTGGTCAGGGTGATACTTTTCAACAAAACTTTGCAACTCATTCCACATTCCACACATGTCCTTAATCACTGAAGAAGGCACCTCATCCACTCCCTCTTCCTCCTCCTCTGAAGCAAGTTCCTCAGCTGTGGTCTGATGCTGTTCCAGTTGAAGCTCTTGCAGTTCGTCAGTGGTTAGCCCTTCCCTGTGGTCCTCCACCAACTCTTCCACATCCCCGTCACTCACTTTATTTACCAAAGGGCTTGGACTAGCTTTCCTTGGGTCCATGATGACTTACTTAGCAGTTGCAAGCACAAAAAAAATGGATTATTATGAAATGTATTGTATGAACCCGCGGGGTGATGGTCACGTGTTGGTAAAGAGTGGCACACTGAGCATGAATGGCGTGGGAGACTGGCTTGGTGTGCGCGGTGACGGGTGGACGGATACCGGACGGTCGCCGAAACACAAGTCTTTTCACGAAACTCGAGGCCAAATTTAAAAAAAAAAAAAACTCGCCGAAGGTCGAATTTCACGAAAGTCAAGGCTGCCGAAACTCGGGGGTCCACTGTACAGCCATAAATACTATACAAAAAATACACCTCAAAGTCGGCTCTTTAATCCAAAAACACGGTCGGAGTTTTTTTTCTCATTATGCACTGTGTGCTGCAAGATTTTTTTATACAGTGCACATTGACCACACAGACCCATTCTCTCACATGTGGGCCTACCAGCTTTCTCCCGCTTGATTTGAAGCTGCTAGAATTTTTGAGTATATATATGTCAAACACATTGGCTCGTAAAACATATATATACGACCGAAACAGTCAAAGGGTTAAATGAGTAATACAATACATAAACATTTAAATATTTATTGAAGACTCTTGTTGGCATCTGGAAGATATGGAGGAGGAGAGAGGACTTATTATTGCCTCAGCTACTGCCTCCACCACTGCTTCCACCACTGCCTCAACCACTGCCTCAACCACTGCCTCCACCACTGCCTCCACCACTGCTTCCACCACTGCCTCAACCACTGCCTCAACCACTGTCTCAACCACTGCCTCAACCACTGTCTCAACCACTGCCTCAACCACTGCCTCAACCACTGCCTCCACCACTGCCTCCACCACTGCCTCCACCACTGCCTTCACCACTGCCTCAACCACTCCCTCAACCACTGCCTTAGTGCCACTATGAAGTTTCTTTGGGCTCATGGTGGCTTATTTCACAGCCACTATCAATAAACAAGCACTAAACACAATGAATTTATTGTGAAATGTTCGGATGAGCATGCAGGGTAATGTTCACTCAAGGATAAACAAAGCTAGAGTGGCTCGCGACGTTTACACGGGGAAGCGTGCAGGCGCAGACGGGTCTGGTACACCGGTTGAAACACGGGGCAATGGCCGAAACTCGGGGCAAAATTTAGCCAAAAAAAGAAGTCGAAACTTGAAGCAGTCAATATTTAGGGCGGCCAAAACTCAGGGTTCCACTGTACATTATTGTGCGAGTTTGTTAGGGTGGAGTGAATGAAGACAAATAATTTTTGGGGTTTGACGTGTTGCTGTTAGCCAGACTTGAGTTCTGGATGTAGGAGGTACAGTGCTTGCACTCTGAAGGATGGGTGTGGATGTTACAGTTCAGAAGTTCAAGTAAATGGATGTTTGTGTACCTCCTACAAGACAAGTGTTGAATGATTGATGATGTGTGTGTTTCCTTCTTTGGGTCAACTGCCTTGATGGGACACAGAAAATGTGATAAAAGTTTTTAGGCATTTGAGGTGTTTTATCAGATTTGCCATTTTATTGAGTTATGCATTTTTCATAACACAGGTGCGTATCCTGGAGCAGCCGCAAGCAAAGGCATTGCGTTTTAGGTACATCTGTGAAGGACGGTCTGCAGGTTCCATACCTGGAGTCAGAAGTACAGCTGAAAATAAGACTTACCCAGCTATTCAGGTCAGTAAAGTGTCTCATTATATTATGGCTATTGTAGTTTTTAATTATTACTCATTATTTATATATCAGTGTTTGTGTGGTTTGTATTCTCTTATAATGGGCAGGGTGTAATAGTCACAAATTTGTTGATGGAAATTCATGTCACTTATCTACTGTTTTAAAAGCATTTTTAGTAAAAAAAATTGTTTATTCATGTTCCCCTCCCCCCCTCCAAAAAAAAGAAAAAGAAAAATAACTAAGAACAATAATACTTCGTCATAATATGGAAAATATGTAATGGTTAATGTCAGATAGCTGTGTGTTAACAAGATGGTTAACCTTTAAGGCAGTGATTTTTCAGAGGTATCTGCATGCCTCTGGCAGGACATCAGTAGTATGAATGATGGTGAAAGCATTTCTTTTTCAGGTCACCCTGAAAAAGAAATGCTTTCACCATAATTCATACTATTGATGTCCTGCCAGAGGCATGCAGATACCTCTATGTGGGAGATGGCCGGCATGTTAAAAAAAAAAAATTCTTAACTCCTGTGAGAGTGAAGTTTTTTCAGATTTGCCAATTTTTTTTTTTAATGAAAATAAAGTGGACCCTCCATTATCAGCTGTATCCGTTCCAGAAGGCCGGCCTAAATCCGAAAAGACCAAAAACAGAAATAATATTTCCCATAAGAATTTATGTAAATCCAATTAATCCATTTCAGACACCCAAAAATATTAACAAAAAAAATACATTTTTTAAAGATTAACTATACTTTTACATACAGAAAACAATGAGAAATAAATATAAAACACAAATTTTAATGATAAATGAACATCACATACCTTTATTGAAGACTCTTGTTGGCTTATTGAAGAAGGCGAGGAGGGGAGAGGGAGTCGGGAATCCCCAACTCCCCTTCCCTTCTGTGTAGTGTAGCATCCCTGGGCTACACTACACATTTAATATGAAATAGTAAACACTATAAATAACATAGAAACCTGATATATACTCTAGAATGAATAAAATATGTCATTATGTAACGGGTGGAGGCAGCCACAACCGCTCCCTCTTTGTTGTGGTAAACACAGCCATCTAGTGACGGCCTTTTGAAGCTGTCTATTATTATAATTATTATTATGTAGTACATTATTATTATATATGTACAGTAGACCGTTATTTAGCACAAGTTTATTTGGCACAATTTGAGTATAGCACAATTGAAGAATTGCGACACATTTTTATGTAACATGTTGTATGATCAATTTAACACTATTTGCGGGAGGGGAAAAAAATTTAGAGCGCAGTGGTCGCCCGGTCACCCACAGTGGGTTATACCATTGAGTCAATGGGGGAGGCCTACTGCCATCACCCCTGCCACCCACACCCACCTCTACCACGCTCCCAGCCTCCAGTTCGGTTCATACGCGTGCAGGACGGAGGTACTCGGGAACCTAGCTGTGTTTATATACATACATATTTTCTTAATTTTATTGCCATTTTTAAATCTGCCAAGCAGTAATGGCACCCAGTAAGCATACAAGTGTTGCTGAAAGTGACAAGAAAATGTTTAAGCGTTGAAGTCTAGGAATTGTGAAGAAAATTGAGATGTATTAGACAAGCTTAAGTGTAGATCATGTGTGGTGGATATAATGAGGGCCTATTGTCTTAATGAAGCGTCGGTTCGTACAATTAAAAAGAACGAGGCGAATATACAAGCTTGTGTAATGAATAACCCAAGATGTCATCTCATGAAAAGAATGACATGTAGGTCTCCAACAAGTAAATAAAACAGAAAACTTGTTGCTTGAGTGGGTTGAACAAAAGACAAAGAAAGGTGCACCACTTAATTTCCTCTTAATTAGGGAAAAGGCCTTACAGTTGTTTAAAGCAGTGTGTGATAAGGAAGGAAAGCCTGAAAAAGAGTGTGTTTAGCACAGGATGGTTCCACACCTTTAAGTTGCATAATAAGTTACATAATATTAAGTTTTCTGGTGAAAGTGCTTCAGCTGATCACACAGCAGCAAGTAATTTTTCTGCTGAATTGCAGGAAATTATTTCTGAGGGTGGCTATGAGTCACATCAAGTGTTTAATGCTGACGAGACAAGTGTTTTTTTGGAATAAAAGGCCAACACGAACTTACATCAGTCAGCAAGAGAAGAGTGCGCTGGGCTTCAAGGCAGCAAAGGACTGCTTCACCTTGCTCCTTTGCGGTAATGCATCAGGTGATTTCAAGTGTAAGCCCATGGTTATTTACCGCTCTAAGAATCCTTGTGCTTTGAAAGGTGTAGATAAAAACACCTTACCAGTAATTTGGAGGTCAAACCAATCAGCATGGATGACAGAGGAAATATTTATTGACTGGTTTAAGCATCACTTTATTCCTGAAGTCGAAGTTTTACCTCCAGCAAGAACATTTTATTCAAGGTCTTCTTCATTCTGATAATTCCTGTGCTCATGCCACAGCTTTGCTGGATGTGACCCATATGTAAAACTGTATTTTTACCTCAATCAACATTTTAAAAGCAGCACTGATCGGGGAGTTTTAGTCATTTTCAAGGTAACTACACAAAAAAGTTATGAAAAAACTAGTTGCTCATGATCCCACTTGGCAATACCACTGATCCTCATCAACACTAATCAGGTGGGGAAGTTATGCCTTTGTGGTTAATCTCATGTTCTCTTGCTGAGAGTCAGTTCAGGAATGTTCAGTGCAAAGAGATTACAAGGTGATGGTTTTGAAGATATGAATGAAGACGATGTGAATATGCTCTTAGAAGATGATGATGATGAAGACAGGAGTCCAAAGGAAATGTTAGCAGAGCTCGATGCACAGATACAAGGGAGGGACATAACAGAAGAAATGAAGAAGAACCTGAAGAAAAACAGTTAACATTGCAGCAGTTACATATTTATGGTAAAGTTGCAGACTTTTTCACTGAAGAGGACCCTGACAGATCTAGAAGCAGTGGTTTGAAACGGGGTCTAGACCAGCTGATGATGCCTTACCATCAGCTGTATAATGTATTGCAGGGTAAAACAGCCCAGAGAACCATTACAGAATTTATACACACTCCAATACAACCATCGACTTCAGTACCAGAACCTCTACCATCCACTTCTGTCGACAACTAACAACCATCCACCTCAGCCCAGTAGGGCCACACCATCCATATCCACTCTCTTCACAATCTTCCACACACACCAGCAACCACAATTTAAGGTAAGAAATACTATTATTTCTATTGCATTTATAGTCTTAAGCAGTAATATATCACGACAATGAGCTACAATTACGTGTTCGCTTTTATTTTTGTAAGATCTGTTGGTCTAAAAAAAAAAGTTGTTTGGCTTTTTGGAGCTCCCAGGAACGTAACCCTATTTTTCCCATAAGTTCTTCAGTTCGTTTAGCACGATTTTACCTAACACGGCATTTTCAGGAACATAACTACCGTGCTAAATAACGGTCTACTGTATTATTATTATTATACGTATTATATTATTATTATAATTATTGTATTATACTATTATTATTATATGTATTATTATTATACTTATTATTATTATACATATTATTATTATTACATATTATTATTACAGTATAAATAATTTGTAATTTTTTTTTTAATTTTTTTATTAACTAACACACTGGCCGATTCCCATCAAGGCAGGGTGGCCCGAAAAAGAAAAACTTTCACCATCATTCACTCCATCACTGTCTTGCCAGGAGGGTGCTTTACACTACAGTTTTTAAACTGCAACATTAACACCCCTCCTTTAGAGTGCAGGCACTGTACTTCCCATCTCCAGGACTCAAGTCCGGCCTGCCGGTTTCCCTGAATTCCTTCATAAATGTTACTTTGCTCACACTCCAACAGCACGTCAAGTATTAAAAACCATTTGTCTCCATTCACTCCTATCAAACACGCTCACGCATGCCCGCTGGAAGTCCAAGCCCCTCGCACACAAAACCTCCTTTACCCCCTCCCTCCAACCTTTCCTAGGCCGATCCCTACCCCGCCTTCCTTCCACTACAGACTGATACACTCTTGAAGTCATTCTGATTCGCTCCATTCTCTCTACATGTCCGAACCATCTCAACAACCCTTCCTCAGCCCTCTGGACAACAGTTTTGGCAATCCCGCACCTCCTCCTAACTTCCAAACTACAAATTCTCTGCATTATATTTACACCACACATTGCCCTCAGACATGACATCTCCACTGCCTCCAGCCTTCTCCTCGCTGCATCATTCATCACCCATGCTTCACACCCATATAAGAGCGTTGGTAAAACTATACTCTCATACATTCCCCTCTTTGCCTCCAAGGACAAAGTTCTTTGTCTCCACAGACTCCTAAGTGCACTGCTCACCCTTTTCCCCTCATCAATTCTATGATTCACCTCATCTTTCATAGACCCATCCGCTGACACGTCCACTCCCAAATATCTGAATGCATTCACCTCCTCCATACTCTCTCCCTCCAATCTGATATCCAATCTTTCATTACCTAATCTTTTTATTATCCTCATAACCTTACTCTTTCCTGTATTCACTTTTAATTTTCTTCTTTTACATACCCTACCAAATTCATCCACCAACCTCTGCAACTTCTCTTCAGAATCTCCCAAGAGCACAGTGTCATCAGCAAAGAGCAACTGTGACAACTCCCACTTTATGTGTGATTCTTTATCTTTTAACTCCATGCCTCTTGCCAAGACCCTCGCATTTACTTCTCTTACAACCCCATCTATAAATATATTAAACAACCACGTTGACATCACATCCTTGTCTAAGGCCTTCTTTTACTGGGAAGTAATCTCCCTCTTTCCTACATACTCTAACTTGAGCCTCACTATCCTCGTAAAAACTCTTCACTGCTTTCAGTAACCTACCTCCTATACTATACACCTGCAACATCTGCCACATTGCCCCCCTATCCACCCTGTCATACGCCTTTTCCAAATCCATAAATGCTACAAAAACCTCTTTAGCCTTATCTAAATACTGTTCACTTATATGTT